GGCGCAGGGCGAGGGAGCGCAGGAGCCGGCCGTCGGGGCCGTGGCAGCTGTAGGTGCCGGCGGCGGCGGTGTCGGCGTGGGGCAGCACCAGGGCTCCCAGCTGCACGATGGAGCCTGCAGGCAGCGCGGCCCCCTCCCGCCGCCACTGCACCCCCGTGCGGCTGCCGGAGACACCGTGTCAGCCCCCGGCCGCGTGCCACTCGCACCCGGCACCCGGGGGTCAGGGCTGGGGCTGAGTGCAGGGGCTGCAGGTCGGGAGCGAGGGGCTGGGTCTGCTTCACCGGGCTCCAAGGCAGGAAAGACCCCGCGCCCCCGCTCCCCCCGCGGAGACACCTACCCGGGCCGGCCGCCGGTGCACGGCAAGACGACGTCGGTGCCCAGCTGGCCGTACTCCACCGCTGCCGGGCAGAGAGCTGGCGTGAGCCGTGCAGGACAGGGAGTCTCCCTCCACCCGCCCGCCCAAGGCTGCATGGAGCTGCCCTGCCCCAGCCTGCCTCAGTTTCCCCGGATACTGAACCGCCAGGGACTGACGGCAGGGTCAGGCCGGGACAGGTGGAGTCGGGGGGTACAAACGGACTCACCGTCGTCCCCCCAGTCTCCTGCCGTGGGGAGCGGGGCTGACGCCAGCGCTGCAGCCAGGAGCACCATCAGCCGGCCGAGGCGCAGGGCAGGACGGCGCATCTGTGGAGAGACGGGGCTGCGTTACCCGGCATGGCGGGGGGCACCGGCTCTCGGCCCCAGGGGCAGGCGCTCAGGGCTTCCGGCGCCTGCATCCCAGGGCAGGGCCCCCGGCCGGCCGCGTGGCCTCTCTCCGCCTTGCCAGGCCCTGAGATGCCTGGAATATTTTTGCATGGAAAAATCAACAGCAGCAGGGCCGGGGCCTGGCCCGCGCGCCGGGAGCTGCACGCCACCAGCCCCTTGCCATGCTCCCGGGAGCTCTGCTGGTCCGCCGCCCCCCTGCGAGGACCCCTGACGCTGTGCAAAGCCCCAAAGGCATGAGGTGAAACCCGCCCGCGCTCCATCCCAACACGGCGCAGGATGCCTGGGTTTCGGGCGGGCCAGCGGCCGCAGCGGCACCATCACAGCAGCTCCCGGCGCAGGCCTGCACATCGTCCCACCATAAATCATTAGGCAGTCACAGGCTTTTCCGGCCGAACCGCAGGGATAAACACGGCTCTCGAGCAACGGCAGCTGTCGGCGTCCCACCAGCAGCTCTGGCATCCGAGAGGAACTGGTGCTCTTCTCCCACCCCAGCTGCCAGGCGGGACCGGGGTGGAAAAGGCATTTAAGAACAACCCCCCGAGGGGCAGAGTTAAGGTGAGGGGGGGGACCAGCCACGGTCCTCAGTGCCCAGACTACAGCAGGCTTTAAGCAGCTTAACAACAGCATGGGACGGAGCAGCCAGGGCCCCCCGCCCCCGAGACCTGTTCGAGATGCTGCACATCGCCAGCCCCGGGAGGTTTGCACACGCAATCCAGGTGACAGACCCGGAGGCGACCCACAGCTGCATCTTTTGGGGTCTCTGCAAGAGAAAAGCTGCTCTGGTCCTTTTCGGGAGTCAGAGAGCGAGGGAAAACGAAGCACCAGCCTTTCCCATGGCACGGGTCTACCCAGGGGCATCACGGGTCACCCAGCACAAGGTCCCTAATCTCTCCCCCTGGGTCTCTAATCACCTGGCAGAGCAGTTTGCCCCAGGCACAGGCACACCGAGGGAGCTGGGAGACATGCCAACAAAACCTGCTCCAGACTCCACACAGAGCACAGGGATTAGCCAGTCCAGCCCAGCCAGGTGCTGGCTGCAGCTCCCCTTGGAGCCAGGTCTGCGAAAGGTCAAGGCAGAGAGCGGCCCAGGCGGGAACCCCAGAGCTGCTGGCTGGCTCGAAGCCGGTGGGAGCTGCAGTGCGGTTGGTGGCCACGAGTGCTGCCCTCACCCCCAATAAGGTGTGTACGACCCATTGTTCCCATTGCACAGATGGGTAAGTCGAGGCCCAGGAGGCTGTGGAAGAGGGGGCTTGTCCTACAGTTACTCTGTGGCAGAGGTCTAGTTTCCTAGCCCCCCACCCTGTGTGCACTCTCCCCCTCACCCCAGGTTTCAGGATGATGAGTGTGCCAGGTCTCTGCAGCTGGGGTCTCCTTGTGAATGGCACCAGTGTCAGCGCAGGGACGGGTTGCCCCCTCAGCACCATGGCAGGGAGACCAAGAGACATGTCACCAAGGGGCACAGGGGACCTCCCCCTGCAGCCAGCTGACCCGAGGAACTTCCCCATTGCTGGCGTGGGGTTCATGGGGAAGGCGCCTGGACGCCCTGGGGATGGGCACCTGCTGACAGCTGAGAGGCGACGCAGCGAGGGTCTGGCTCCCTAATGGGGTGAGACATGCACACACGCATGCAAACACAGGTGCACGCTTACATGCCCGCCCAGTCGCACACATCCACACACGTACAAATACATACCTTCACACATATGTGCACACATACACACGTGCATCAATATCCGCACGCACGTGAACTGCACACACACCCACTCATACACATACATGCACACGCATGCTCATAGACACACATGCGCTCACACATGCTCATAAACACATGCATGCACCCCAGTGCTTATAAACGTGCAGGCACACATGATTAGACACAAGCGTGTACACATACACGTGCTCATAAACGCGTATGCAGACGCATGCACGCAGCTCCAACGTGCTAACACAACACAAAGAGGCTGCCGGGCTGGGCAGGGGCCGGGGCCGGGGCCGGGGCCGGGGCCGGGGCCGGGCAGGGGCTCAGCAGCTGGCGGAAGAATGCCTGGCTCTGTCCGCACCAGGGCTGGTGTCATGCCGGGCCCAGGGGGTCTTCAGCCGCCGGCCTCGCCAGGGAACAATGGGCGGCTTTCTCCCTGTCCCAAGCCCCGGCTGGGGTCATTTCAGCCCAGCCCAGCCCAGAGCTGCACCACGCACTGCACTGCCAGGGCTCGGGCCTCCAGCACCCGGCTGGGTGAACACGACATACCCAGGACCCCACCAGCCAGGCCTGTGACCACCCCAGGGAGAGGAGGAGAAGAGCATGGGGAGGATTTCTGTTTCTCCATCCCCAGAGCAATGGTTGGGAAAGGGGACGCCGGTGAGCCCCGAGCGCAGACATACGCGGCCCATGTGGCTGGGTGTGCCCCTGGGTGCCAGCTCCAACCCCCCACCCCAGCCAGCAACCGGTCTCGTGTCACCGCAGGACCCCAGGAGCCCACCAGTCCTGCTCCCTGCACGGCCCCCTCCCCTGTGCCAGGCAGCAGCTCCCAGCCTGGCTGCTGGGACACGTCTGCTGCTTGGCTGGGTTGTGCGTGTCGTGTTTCCAGAGACCTGGTTTGCACAATCATGCATACAGAGATAATCAAATGTCTTGATATTTATTTAGCTTGGTTCCCAGCTTCTCATACTGTTGTAGGGAGCTCAAAGGGTCCCTCCCCTCTAGCTGGAGTAAGGAAAAAACAAATGTAGAATGGAAAGACATAACAATCTGTAAGCATGAAAGTTGGAAAACAATTATGCAAGATCCTACAAGGAATAGATGGAATGACAATGGCAAAAATTGGGCT